CATGTAGAGATAGCAACAGTGTTGGCTAGCTCCAAAATGTCATAGCCATCTGATTGTTTTTGTTCTTTGATAATGGGAACTGAAAAAATTCCAATTTCAGCTGAGATACTGGCAAATAATTCTGTATAATGGCAATGCGGGTGGTTGCAGGAGTGCTGGGGAACTCAATTACGAAATGCTTTGCTGAATTAGTAATTAATATCTTGTCCTCTGTGGATGTTCCTGGCAGTAGATGCAAGGTATTCCGAGATACCTGCTTCAACTTCTCTTGGAGTTACTCTAAAACAATGTCTGCGTTTCATGTGGAACAGTCACCAATTCAACATGAAAATGAGTAGTTCCAGCTCAATCCAAGCTGAAAGTCAGTCAAATGTTGACATCCCACACTTTCCCCCATGCAGCCCAGCACTAAATCCCTGTGATTTTAAGTGCTGTTATCTTATGTGACTGGAGCTCAGGCAAAGCTATAGCCTGGATATTCACCCGAGCTAATGACTGAAGAGTATTTTGAATGTGAAAAGTGAGACAAGTCTCACTGGAAATGATATGCAAGAATTGCTTCAATCTGTAGCGGTATGTGAGACATTAGCTAAATTGGCTTTTAAAGTTCATCAGAAATCCTGGCCAGGAAATCATGGAGGTATTAATGAAGGATCTACTGGGGGTTAAAGGACTCAAAATTTCCAGAGGAGCTGTGGTTCTTTGGCAGGAAATAGCAGAGTCTGGCTAACCCTGTGACATCCTTGGGGCTTTTGTAGGGAGCCAGACATCTCTGAAGCATCTTTCCGGCGAGACGATGCAGACTGTCCTCCCAGGTCCCCAGAAATGCGTGGCCAGGCTGCTTTAGCTCATCGCTGCATACCAATAGGACAAACGTGTTTATAATATATATGCAAACACACTTTGAAGTGGGTAAATGAGAGTCACTTGCCAAACTAGCCTGAAAAGCAGTGAGCAACAAAAGAAAGGCTGCAGAGACGTCTCAATCTTGCCTTTGTGCATGTGCTTGCCTGGTGCTTTTAAGGAAGACTTCCTCCTCCTTTTTCCCATGTGTGCTAAGGAGGGGATGCTCCCTGATCGGCTGCGTTTCCCCCAGCGCCGGCAGAGCGGCCCTGTTGCCTCGCGAGTGCTTTGGGGGAACAGTCCAACCCCTGTGCTTGTTTGATGGATATTTCTGCTTCGATGGGGGCCGGCAGTGCCCGCAGCAGCCCCTGCAGCCCCCATGTGCACGGCTTTGTGGCGACGGTCTCGGCGTGCAGAGCTGCGGTGGTTAAACAACTCGGAGCGAGTGCTCTCTGTGCAGGGGCTATCTGCGTTTGCTGGAGCTGGAGAGCCCTCACGAACGGGCTCCCAGCACAGCTGAGCATGGTGATGCAAAACAAGGTATCGCACAAGTATTTCCTGTTTAAACTGCCCGGTGGAAAGCAGGGTTTTGCAAAGTTTCCATGAAGCTTTTCCTGATAAAAGCCCTGCTCCGTCGCCTCTGCTAAGTGACCTAAACCAAAGCTGCTGCATTATTTCTCCTCAGAGCAAGCAGATTTAGAACATGGGCAGAGTCTTCTCCAATGTGTTATGCAAAAAAATGCTGTTTAATTATTTACAGGCTGACATAAATGGTTCAGTTTTGCATATTACATGGTATACCAGCCCCCAGCCTGCAGGCTCGAAGCAGCCTGCTTGGCACCGCTTTGGAGCTGAAATCCCTTGGTGCTAGCTTTGTTTTGCATAGCACTTTGTAATACTGTTAGTTGACTTGGCTGCAGTTTCACAAAGCATTTTTTTTCCACTTGGTTCAACACTCAGTTGAATCTAATGGGAACAGAGCCAAACGAGTAATGTAAGCCAAGTGCCGACGCTTGTTTGGTGTGCAGTTCCTGATGAGAAATATATATAGTAATTGTCTCTTGCTCCTCAAGGCTTTAAGTTTGGCAGGGGGAATGCTTCAGTCAGCATGCCAAGTATTTAAAATCATAATCAGTCAGTGATGAAAACATATATTTATGGCTATAATGAGTTGCATCAAAGCAAGAGGCCTTAGTTTTTCCCCATAGAAGTAACGAAGTTAATTTAGAAATGCCTTCTTTTATATAGCACGAAGATCTCTCAAAGGTAAAGAGCTTGTCTAGAACGTTGTGAATATTGCAGAGACCTGAGCAAAGCAGTGGCTCTGGCTGCAGGGTTGGTTGTGGTTGCTGGAGGGCTGCGGCCGCGTAGCGCCCGTGGACGTCCCCGTGTCACGAGGGGGCCCCATGCAGGATGTCACCGGGCCGTGGGACAGGGGCTGGTTTGTTTTCCCCATTGAAATGGCTGTGTCCTGTCCGTGGGCTGTAATTACCGCTGCCGGTGTGTTCCGGTGGGCTGTGATCTGCTCAGGAAGCCTCTGGTCACTGCCGGGGTGACAGCGGTGACAGCGGAGGCGGCTGCTCCGCCGCCCTCGGCCCGACCACCAAGACGCTGCTCCGTCGGACCGGGGCGTCTGGAGTCATGCGGTTGAATGGGATGATTTCCAGTTTTGAGTGATAACAGCCGTATTTTTACACACATACACCCAAAAAATGGGACAGAACTTTTTTTTTTTTTTTTCCCTTTTTAATACCTGTAACTGCACCTAAAACTTGTATTGCATAACTTCACATTCCGGTGCAAACAAAAATTTAAAAATACTGATTAAACAAAAGGCTTAAGCTGCTCCTTCTGGCCTCCAGAACACGGGGAGCTGGGAGAAATGAGCTGCAGCGTGTCTAATGGCAGCGTGCTGGTGCTGCTTCCAAAAATGGGACAGTTATCTTAATTGCAGCCAAACGCATTGGGCATTAAAATCAGACATTGCATCCATTAGTCATTAAAATATATGGAGATGGCTGTTTTGAAAAAAGGCATATTTCTGCCAAAAAATGAATAGATCCCTAAGGGCAGGAGAGCTGTTCCTGAGCGCCCGTTCGCTTGATTCTGGGTACGTGGAAGCCCCTAAAACCACGGGGGCCTGACCTAGAGCAGTGCCAACTCCCTCCAGCGCCGCCGCTCTCCGTGCCTCGCGAGTGCGGCGATGCATGTGTGGAGCATTAAAATATTTATTTCCCAGATGATATTAGAAGCAGGGCAGAACTGTTTCCCTAAGAATTTGTGGCATGACAGAACTATGTTAGAAAATGTATTTGAGTTTCTAAAAGCTTTTTCTTTCCCCTGAAAAGATTTGCAGGTGTTTTATTTTATGCTGAAGTTCAGTACTGAAAGGATGGCTCAGGGTTGGATGCATTTCTTTCTGCTAGCATCCCTATTTTTATGGAAGAATTTCTGATTGTTTCCTCATTGCTATAAAGCCAAAGCAGTATAATCCTCCATAGTTATAATTCTCAGATTCAGGATATCGCATCTTATCCTGATAAAGTGAAAACAAGTGTCCAGAGCACGGGCACGAAACCCGTTCAGGAGCCTGATGGCTGTGGTGGGAGGACAGGGGGAGGTTTTGAGCAGCGCTGGTTCTTGCCAGCTGATCTTTCAGAGTTAAGGGGTCTGGTCAGCTCCTCTTCTCGCAGCTTTGAAAACTAGGCTGGGGAGAAGGGGTGCAAATTTTGTGTGTTAACCTCGTCGCAGTTCACAGCTGACCTGCAGCAACCACTTTAGAGCACAAACATTACACGCTTTAATGCAAGAGCCTTCGGTTAGCGGAAGTGGAAGAGCAAAGAGCCTTGGCTGTTACGGTGAAGGTGGTCGCCGTTCCTGGTGTTGCCCACACAGGGAAGCTTCTGCGGGCTGAGCCGGAAGGCTGGAGCTGATGGAGGCCCAGACAAGGTGCCCACGGGGCAGAGCCCCGCGGAGGAGTCTGCAGCGGGAGGTGCAGAGCGGCTGGGGCGGCCTAGGTGCCGAGTGCTCCTGCTGTGGGCCCCAAGGGCACGTTCAGACCCACGGGCTGCGCTTGCTCGCCGCGCTCCGCAGCTGCGACCCGCAGCGTCACGAGCAGCCGTGGCCAAACGCTCATCCTGGTGGTCCCCGCTCCCTCCAGCAGCGGACGCAAGATTGCGGGAACACTGCGCTCTGGAGCAGCTCCTCCGAGAGGCGGTTCTGTGCTTGGTTTGTGGAAGGCGCTTTCCTTGGCTGCAGTGAGCTCTCTTGGCATCCAAATCTGTCTCCCTGCAAAGAGATCCAGCTCCGTATGGCGGATACCTTGGCGTGGGCTCGCCGTGCCCTTGTCATACGCCGTGCTGGGGCTCGGCAGGCACGTACGGGCCCCATCAGCCGTGGCTGATGTGGAAACTGCCAGTGCCACCCTGAGCTGCAGCTCGTGAGCCCCATGGAGAGGCTGCTGTTGTCCTGTGAAGGGCGGCACGGAGGTGATCACAGCTGATTACGGTTACTGCATAGAGAGGGTCCAGCCTTTTTACTTCACAAATCTCTCGTGAGCATGGAAATGAGCCTTAAAAAAAGGCAGCAGCAATCCTGAGTTTTAGTCCTGGGAGCCGTTGGGTTCCTTGATGCCTTCCAGAAGGCATGGTAGCTTTGGCTTGCTTTAGGGAACTGCATTAGAAAAACCTTCTTGCCCAAGTAGTTGGCCCAACATGCACTTAGTTCCAGTTAATCTCTCCCTGCTCTGCGAAGTTTCATGGGTTAGGATTAGTTCATCAGTCCAGGCTGGTGATATGTGTATGTGCTTTAAATGTGGACTTGCTGGAGCAAACTGGAAGAGCCTATACACAGGGAAAAAAAATGCCTTTTTTTTTTTTTTTTAATATATATATAATTTTGGTATAACTGAGGTACCTGAGGCTGAATTACAGCTGCTTCTGCTAGTCTAAACTTGATCCCCCTGTAATGTCAGTAATTCATCTGCAGATGTAATGAACTTAAAATATTTAACCGCAACCTGAAGGAGCTGTGGAGGAGAAATCATTTGACGTTTATCTTAGATTGCCTGCAAATAACTGAATGGAGAGCTACATGCTTTGGTGGGGAAACTGTTGGATGAGGTACTCAAAGATAAAAATGTTCCCTTTCATTTTCAGCTCCCAGTCCCACCACAGCTGTTCCGTACATGTCAGTGAAGTGCATTGATGTCAGAAAAAACCACCACAAAACCAAGTGGCTGATGCCCTGGGGACCTAACCACTGCGAGAAGATCAAAGACTTCGACGAAGCCATGAGCAGGCAGATAGAGGCCAATGACATCGTGTTTGCTGTTCACATTCCTCTTCCTAGCAAGGAGATGAGCCCCTGGTTCCAGTTCATGCTTTTCATCATGCAGCTGGACATCGCATTCAAGATGGACAACGACCTAAGTAAGTCACTTTGTGTCTTTTATTACCTGCTGACTGTGGTCTGTCTAACTTGCCCGTGGCTGTGTTTCTCTGAAAATTCCTTTCATTTGGCACCATACGTTAGCTGCAGGTTAAAGTGTCTGTATGTGCCGTGAAGTGATACAGGAGCGCATTTTAAAGATAGGAATATAAAATAAGACTTCATGATATCTAGATTTCCATGGAGACCCACTTAGGCAGCATTAGAAAGTAGCTGGGCGTGTTCTAAACAAGCATCAAGAAGCTCGAACCAGCAGCACCAACTGTTCGTGGTTCCATGTTAAAGCACATTGAACTGCAGGAACTTGCTTAAATTGCTTTCTTAAATGCAGCAACTGGCTTTCAAAGCATTTGCTCCTGAGTTTCACAGATTTATTTCAGGTGTTTCAAAATGCTAATCAGTACCTCGCCAAAACAGCAATTGTAGGTGCGATTGCATCTATCTTAAACATTATGGCAATATGCCATCCTTTGAAAAATCAACTATTTATTCATAGTTAGGTTATAGTTCTTGATAGCTTTAACTGATCCAAGTTGGGGCTTCTCCAGCTTTTTCCTCTGGCTGCAGCCTGGCTCCCTTGGCTTGGGCCTGGCACTAGTGTTGGTGTGTTCATGCAGTGGGTTGTTCAAGGAGCAAATGTGTTTGTAGAACAAGCAAACCTGGCTGCTTTATCGAGATGTGGGTCTAACTCCCTTGGCCAAGGGGCCCTGCAAGCAGCAGGGCTGCTGCATGGGGCAGAGCTGGGGTGGGCACCCTGGAGGGGGCTCCTGCAAGGATCTGTTTAGGGTTTAGTGAAACCCCAGGTCTGTCCCCCTTGTCTCATTGACAAGGGCACGTTCCTTCCCAGCTATATAATACAGCATCATTAAGATCACCTTAAAAATGTGATTTAAAAAAAAATAAAACTTGCTTATGTATTTCTAAATATATTTCTATTTATATTTCTATAATTACTTCCAAAATATGGGGAGAATTATACTTCATAGCTTTATTAGGGCCTTAACTGCTTAGACTTTAAAAGATTGCTCTGTTTAGAAAAATAACTCTTCCTTGTGATGCAGTTAAAATCAAGCCAGTGAGCTGGAATAAGCCCTGGCTGAGCACCTGGAAGCAGCCTGTTAAAAGGGCAGCGAGCTCTTGACAGTGTTTTCCCCTGTAAGTGCTGCAAGAACCTTCTCATCTTTGCTTGTGCAGTTCAGTGACCAATTCCTTCAAAGCTGAGTTTTCTTTTTGAACTTTAAAAGCAGGAAAAAAAACCCTGTCTTTTGCCGCTGTCTGTTTAATAAACCCAAAATATTTGAGGATGAGATATACTGCTTTAGATGTGAAAGATTTTGCTTCTGGTCATTATCTGCTCAATAGCTACGGATGCTCTTTGTTTATGAGAAGCATTTTGAGATGAGACCTATTAATACTTCTTATTGTGTAAGCTGACTTGGCTCATCTGGAGGCTCTTTCAAAAAGCTTTAAACTGCTGTTTGCCTACACTTGGTGCCAAGCTGAAGTCAGATTTAAATTAAGTGTTTAAAAACTATCTAAGAAATGAGTGAATAACACATTCCTTGCTGTCTAGGTTATGTTAAAAGCAGATAATAAAATAAAGTTAACGAAAAAGGTTGTTAACCTAAAGTTATTAAGTATTGGTACTTTTTGGATAACTTTGCAGAGCTTTATAGCTTTATTAATCAGACAATTGGAATCTGCTTCTCAAAACAGGTAACATTAATAATGTGGAATTAACTTATTTCTGCTTTTGTTTGTTTGGTTTGGTTTGTTTTTTTTTTTAATTGATAGTTTAAGTTTCTTCTCTCTCCGGCCTTAGCTGAGGACCTCGGACATGTCACTTGTCCTGCTGTAGCTAATGCCAATAGGGGCTAGTGCCAAACCAGCACAGAGCGCTGGAAGGCTTCACAGTTGTTAAAGACATTGTCAGCCACCGTTATAATGACGGCTCTGGGGCCGCCTCGGCTCCTCGAGGACAGCAGCGCCGTGCAGGAACTGGCAGGGTTTTCTCCGTGCCCGAGGAGCATCCGCGGCCGCGCCGGAGGCCGAAGGCCGAGGGAGCAGCTCCGCTGCGGGGCCGG